CAGCAGCCCCACCGTCATTAACACGAGGCTGGAGGGAAGCGTGTTATTGCCAGCCATAACTCTGGCGGCCAGGCCCGGGCCAGCTGGCCTCCTCCATTTCTGCAGGGAGGGCCACCAGCCCCTGGTGTGACCTGCCGTCGTTCCCCATCCACAGTTCCCTTCGGCCGTGCCGCCTCCTCCTCTCCCACCCACTGGGCACGGAGACAGGGACCCGGTGCCCACGTGGGGTCTGGGCTGGCTTCCCCCGCCTCTGCCCTTGGCGTCCTCATCTGTAAGGTGGGTCCCTTCTGTGTTCCAGGAGGGTAAACTGAGGCCCAGAAGGCAAACCCTCCCTTCTCTACTCCAAAGGTCCCACAGGGAGAAGAGGCCAAGCTGGAGTTGGGACCCCGGCTCATCGAGAAGGAAGCAAGCTTCCCCTGCCAACCTCTTCAGAGCCCAGAGCGCACACCCTCATTTTGCAAGGGGAAACTGAGGCCCAGAGAGCGGAGTTGGGGTCTGAAGAGTGAGATGATAATCTCTGATCACAGGCGCACAGGGAAGACAGCACCGGGGGGAGCGAACACCAGCACCAAGGCCAGTGAAGAGGGAAGGGCGGGAAGGGCGGGCCTGGCGGAGGAGCTGAGGTCCAGGAGAGCAGAGCGGCCTCCAAGGGCAGGGCACAAGCTAGGGGCGTGGCCTCGTGGGCGGGGTTTTAGGGGGCGAGGTCTGCAGGCTGGACCTCAAGGACAGGACTTTAGGGGCGGGGTTTCCTATGGGGCGTGGTGGGTGGGCGGGGCCTCACGTTTGACCTGGACGAGGCCGGCGCCCGGGGTCGGGCCGCCGAGGGGGCGTGGCTCCCTGGTGCGGTCCCGCAGGGCGGGGCCTCGGCCCCGAGGGAAGCAGGGAGCCCAGGCAAGGGTTTGAGCTGGGGAAAGTGTGGCCTCGGGACTTCCCGTTCCCGGGCATGAAGCAGGGGCGGAATCCCGCGTGTTCCTGGGTGCAGGGTTTCCCTGGTGGGGGAGAGGGCCGAGCCTCGGTGTCTCCCACCTCTGTCTCCCACCTCAGGCCACAGGAGCCGGGTAGTGGGGACCTCACACCCTGAGGGACCCAGGAGGTAAGAGCTGGGGCAGCACCCCTCATCATCGACACAGCCTGAAGGGCGTCCCCAGGGCGCGGCCCCACCGCACCGCACCCCGGAACGGAGGCCGCCGGCTCAGACCCCACTCCTCACCTTGGGCGCACCCCAGTGACCTGTAGGGCCTGGGAGAGCCTCAGTTTCCCCATCTGCACAGGGGAAGGCCCGCTCCTCCCCTCAGGGCCCCGCTTCCTGCCCATTAGGGCCCATGGATCGCTGGCCTCGGGACCTCCGCTTCCCGGTCAGTGGGCGCCTGCAGCCCCTGGGGGACCTCTTTGCCCTCATCACTCCGCCCACAGCAGCTAGCAGCTGCGGGGGAAACTGAGGAAGCAGGGCCGTCTGCCTCTCCTCTGCTGCCCTCTCCCTGCGGGCCACACCAGCCTGGCTCTTGCCTTTAATTTCTGACTCTGTGTCATCTTGTGATTTATGGTTCCTCGGGAGGTCCTGGGCTATGAACCCAGTGAACATTTCTTTCTGTGGCCATTTGGCCACCTGCAGCCCAGACCAGGGTACCCAACACCATGGCTTTATCCCATCTGGGCCTGTAAGCTCCCTAGAGTGCTGAGGTGACAAGCATGTGTCACCATGCACTCCTAGGAGATACAGTTTGTATGTGATCTTTTTTCTGATCATATAGCTTCTATACACACACACACACACACACACATCATTCAGTCAGTCAGTCAGTAAGCATTTATCCAGCGCCTACTGTGTACCAGGCATGTGGTTGGTGCTAATGACCAGTAATGACTGAGATAGACCAAGCCAGACCAAAACCCTTGACTTCAAGGGGCTGACAGTCAGGTAGCAGAGGAGACAAGAAACAAAAGAGGAAAGTACATGGCCATGGTGTGCCTGAGGCGATAAATACATGCAAAGGAAAAGACAAAATAGAAGAGGAAAGTGGTTTCGGCTCTGTGGCTTTACCTTAGGGGTCAGGAGAAGAAAACCCTCAGGAGGCAGCTTAGGGTCCGGGCACCAGGCTGAGACCAGGGGAAAGGTGCAGAGCAGGGCACCCCAGGGAATTGGGACCCCTGGGGAAGAGAGGGTGTGAGTGGTGTGCTGACCACCGGAGACTGGCCTTTGCCCTGTGGGAAATGTGGTTGAGGTGGGGCTTTTCCTTCTAGCCCTGTACCAGTCCCACTCCTTAAAGGGAGTCTGGGGGTGTGTCCACAGGCACTGAAGGAAAGGCTGTCAGCTCCTTACTCCAGGGCTGTGGGGTTCATGCCCCCCAGATGAAGATGGATATGGTCAAAGCCCTCTGGGAGGCTGAGGCAGGAGGATCCCACATTCAAGACCAACCTGGGCCATAAGGGCTGGAGGTGTAGCTCAGTGTGAAGGGCCCTAGGTTCAATCCCCCAATACCAAAAAATAAAAAAAAGAAAGAGAAAAAGATGAACACGGCTCAGACAGCCCTGCCCTGGAAGCCAAGGGGTAAGTCCAGCTCCACCCCCAGGGCTACTGTCGCCAGAGTCCTGGGGACCTCAGGACTCCCCTGCCCCCTGCAGCCTCCCCCGCCCCCTGCCCACCGTGGGCACCGAGGCAGCAGTAATGGGCCACGGGAGAGAAATTACTTCCCTCTGGAACCTCCGGGCCGGAAAAGGCTCCACACAAGACCCGCATACCGATGCGGTGGCCAATGGCCACCCAGGTTCCACAGGAGCTCAGGGCCTGGTTGTGGCAGATGCAGATGAGGACAGAGACATGGGTCACTGGGGGGCATCCAGACGCGGCCCTGGCGGTGGACACCCAGGTGGTGTTCAGAGGTTGCCAAAGGGACCAGCGCGTGGCCTGCATCCCCTGTGGCCCGCGTCCTATGGGCCTGTGTGGCTGGGGACAGCTCCCTGGGATGCCCTGGTGGGGACAGGCAGGCAGGGAACAGGACAGGACAGTGGGACCGACCCGGCTGCAGGACAGAGTGGTGGCCCTGGGGAAGGGCGGGGAGACCAGCACTCACCAAGGCCCTGAGTTGGGAACACGACTGTCATCCTATTCAGAATCCCCTTTTGTGTTAAACTGTCTGAGACAACACAGATATAATACAATTCGCAAGAGCCAAAAGGTAGAAAAGGCCCAGTGTCCACAGGTGAACAGGGAGGTCTCCTCCATGCCAGGACGTCACTCAGCCATAAAAGGAGCACGGCTGTGACACTCACCACGGTGAGGGGGGCGCATCAAGGATACCGTGATCAGTGAGAGACAACAGACAGGACACACAGCGTGGGCTCCGTGGACAGGAAACTCCCACGATTGGTGATTCCAGAGACAGGAAGTGGACTTGTAAGTGTGGGGCTGAGGAGGGGCCGGGTGACTGCTCATGGGGATGAGGCTTCTTTTTATTTTTTAATTTAATTTAATTTTATTTTATTTTATTTTATTTTATTTTTCCAGTACTAGGAATTGAACTCACGACCTTGCGCTTGCCAGGCAGGCGCTGTGCCGCTGAGCTAAATCCCCAACCCCAAGGCTTCTTTTTTAAAAAAAAATTTTTTTTTCGGTATTGCGGATCGAGTCCAGGACTACATCCTCTGCCCTTTTTATTTTCATTTTCAGAGTGTCTTGCCAAGTTGCTAAGTCACCCAGGCTGGGCTCAAACTTGTGATCCTCCTGCCTCAGCCTCCCAGATGCTGGGATGACAGGTGTGCACCACCACGCCCAGCTACGAGGCTCCCTTTTGGGGTGAAGGAATGTTCTGTGGTTGGACAGTTACACGGTTGCAAAGTTGGTGATGGCAAAAAACAAACAAACAAAAAACCCAAAACACAAAGTTGGTGATGGCAATAAAATCCAGAGGCCAGTGCTTGGGATGGATGGCGATGTGTAAGGTATATCTCAATAAACCTGCTGTGTGTCTAATGCCACCCATCAGCCACCATGGGTCCTCATCTTACTGTCACCCTTGGTCCCCTCCAGCTCTGCGGCTGGCTGGAGCACGGGGCCTCTGGGAGCTGTGGGATTGTGCTCTGTGCAGTGGGGGATCCCCAGGCCTTCCTGTGGGGCTTAGCAGCGCAGCATCAGTCCCCAACGTCTGTCCATCCATCCGCAGCAGGCAGGGGCGGGCGGGGCACACACAGGGCTCTTTGTGTCGCTCCTGCCCTCATTAGGAGGCAGCCCCTGTCGCAGGCCGGGCGCGGCTGAATTAATGGGCTGAGAGCGTTCCCTCTCGGCTAATTGTGCCGGGATGCTGCAGGCACAGCGGGTGGGACTCGGCCAGGACCCTGGCCCCTCTGCCCGGTCACCTGCTGGCCGGGGACAAACCACCCCCTCCCCAGCCTCTTTGTGCCTCCATCCGGGGCTCAGAAGCAGCCTCCTCCCTGAACTCAGACAAGGGAACAGGGAGGCCTTGACCAGCTCACATCCGCAGCCAGCCAAGCCCTAGCCCCCTGTCCCCTCAGGTGCTGCCAAGGGCAAGTGGTGCTTCTCATTCCCCAGAGGGGAAACTGAGGGCTGATGGATGTAAAGGACGCAGGCTCCTGCGGAATGCGCGTTCCCAGGCCTGGCCCCCGATGAGATACACAGGTCCGCAGGCTCCGCAGTGATTGCGGACTCGTTTTTCTTGTAGTACCGGGGATGGTACCCAGGGCCTTTGCACACTAAACCCCATCCCCAGCCCTTTTTATTTTTTATTTTGAGAAAGGATTTTGCTAAGTTGCCCAGGCTGGCAATTTGAGATCATTCTGAGATCTCTCATTCTGCGATCTCACCAACTTGAGATCATTCTGCCTCAGCCTCCCAGGTAGCTGGGATGACAGACCTAATGTGCCCCCACGCCCTGTGTTAGGTTCCTTTGGGCTCTGGTGGCCTCCCCATTATCCTGGGTGACCCTATGCCCACCTCCTGTGCTCTCTTAACTTGGGCCAGCGGCCCCAAATACAGACAACATACCTTTGAAGTTTATGCATTTTATTATAAAAAAATACAGAATCCAAAGTTGATTGTGATGGGGGGAGGCCCGGCGCCAGCTCCAGGCGTGGCCACACGGCCCGCCCCACGGTCCCTACAAAAGCCCCCGCCGCCCCTCACCACAGCAGGCGTGGGCGTCCCCCGGCGGCCGTACACAATATATATTTATATTATAATATATATAAAACACAGTCAGGAAAGGCGGGTAGAAATATGAAATCTGTATAAATGCGTTGTTTCCTTCATTATGTTGTCTTGGGGAGGGGTTGGTGTTTTTGGTAGTAGTCCCCCCTCCCTTTTTGTTCTGTCCATTTTTTTGTTGTTGTTTTTAGAAACATTATTAGGTCAGATAGTGAAGGGAGGGGGGGTTCTGACAGACAAAACGAGCTTATTGCCAAGTGTTGCTTCTATTCTAAAAAGTAACCCTCCCATCCCCCCGCCAAAATAAAAGACCCTAACAAAGGGCTAAAAAAAATTTTTTTCCAGTCCATCCTCAGGAATACATTAAAAATAAATCACAGTATATTATACTTGCTGGCTCTATTTACAGAAATATAATGTCTTCTCAGCTGGGCAGAGGGGCCGGGTGGGGGCCTGTTTGCACAGGCTGAGATGTACGGAGCTGTGATCCCCAAGTGGGGCTGTAGCCCCACAGTGGCTGGAAGCAATCACCAGGAACAAGGGGGCTGAGGCAGGAGAATTTGGTCTCCGGGACCACAAGGAGGGGTCTGCACCACACACCTGTCTCAGGGTACCTGAGGGTCTGCGGTGGGCTCCAGCCAGGACCTGCGAGACGGGGCACAGAGCAGAGAAGTGACTGGCCCTGGTGTCCCCAGATTCCCCTCCCTGGGGGGCCAGGAGACATCGATTAATTCCTTTCCAAAGTTGCTGGCGACCGCAGGGAATAAATTAAATTAAAAACTCAAGTCTTTCTGATCCAATCATGAAAAATACACTGAAAAACAAACAAACGAGCAAACGAAAAAAACAAAAAAACAAAACAAAACCCAACACATAAAATCACCTAGAGGGGGCCGGGGCCTCCCCAGAAGAGATGGCTGGGCCGGGCCGTACAGCTGCCCAGTGCCCCCTCCCCGGGCCAGGGCTCGGCCCTCCCGGCTGGGGCAGCAGCTCCAGGGAGAGCAGCGTCTCTATTTGGTCTTGGAGGTGGCCACGGCAGGGTCGCAAGTCGGGCGTCCACGTGGGGCCGGGACTAGGAGCCCAGCAGGGTCCACAGCACAGAGACGGTGCTCAGAAAGAGGCGGCAGCTGCCCAAGCCACTGCAGGAGTTGTTACTGGTGAAGATCGGCTCTGGGGCCTCGTACAGGGTCTCATCTGGCGGGGGGAGACAGAAGACAGGATGGTTGTCAGGGAAACTGAGGCGTGGGGCAGGGCCCTGGCTCTCCTGATGTAGGCTCGGCCTGCATCACCCCGGCTTCTCAGGCCTCTCAGGGCTTTGGGATCCTGCCTGGCCCCCCAGCACTTACTGGTCGGCCGCACATACACCTTCAGCCGCAGGCAGGGCCAGTCCACGGCATTAGGAGGCGTGGCAGCTGCAAGAGAGGGGACGGGTTAGTGGGCATGCTGACTCAGCACTGACCCCCCTGGAAACCCACCCAGACAGAAAGCTTTCGTTTTCCTGCCTACCTCTGTCGGCTCCTGCATCCCTCCTTCGGCCCAGCCCTAACCCCAAGGCTGAGGCAGCCTATGTCTCTGTCCTACTGGGTCCCACACCTCAGTGGCACTCAAAAGTAAGGAACACAAGCCAGGCGTGGTGGCGCACACCTGTCATCTCAGCACTCTGGGCGGCTGAGGTAGGAGGATTGCAAGTTTCAGTCCAGCAGGGGCAACTTAGGATAAGACCCTGTCTTTCTCAATAAAAAGAGCTATGGATGCAGCTCAACGAAGGCCCTGGGCTCAACCCCTAGCCTCAGTCAGGAGTGACAGGTACCGGCCCTCACTGGCCTGGTGGCCACCTCTCCCCACCCCTGAGAAGCCCCTCCTGCCAGGAGATGAAGATAAAAAGCAGGTAATAAAAATAACATTCGTCACAGAGATAGGACGAATAATTGCAATAATTATCTTTATGAAACTCCCTGTCTCGGAAAGAAAAATGTAATTTTTCTTATATTACGGGACTTAATTTAAACACCTTAGCCTTCCCCCACCCGCTTCTCTGAATTAAAAGGGGAAAAATTCAAATAGAGCAGAGAAAGGAGGAAATGAGGCCTTGTAAAGTTTAATTTGACTTCCTGGGAGCCAGGGTGGACAGGTACCCAGCCTCCTCCACAGCGTGGCAGGCAAAGACCCCCCCAAACTGCTCCTTATTGACCCCGGGATAGTGCGGAAGGGTGATGGCCACCCCACAGGGGCCCGTCCTGGGCTCGGCGGAGGTACACAGCCTGTTACCCCATCTCAGGCAGGCGACACCAGGGCCTGTGTTCCCGTCACGGGTCCTGCAGGCAGTTGGCTTCACGGTAGGGTGGAGCTGGGGACTCTGACTCAGGAAGACTGCTGCAGGTGTCACCTGTCTTAGGTTTGTCCGTCTGTCTGTCTGTTTTGTGTGGCGCAAGGCAAGCACTGACCATTAGCTACACCGCCGCACGTTTTATTTTTATTCTGTTTATTGTTTTTGCAGCAATGGGGATAAACCCAGGGCCGTGACACTGAGCTACATCCCCCGCCCTTTTTATTTTCTGGATGATCTTTTCTTTTCTTTTCTTTTCTTTTTTGTGTTTTTGAGACAGGGTCTCGATATACAGTTCAGGCTGGCCTTGAGCTCACTTTGTAGCCCAGGCTGACCTTGAACTCGCAACGATCCTCCTGCCTCAGCCTCCCGAGTGCTGGGATGACAGGTGTGTGCCACCATGCCCAGCTCCTTTTTATTTTTTATTTTGAGACAGGATCTCATGGTAAGTTTCTAAGTTGCCCAGGCTGGACTCAAACTTGTGATCCTCCTGCCTCGGGCTTCCCAGGAGCTGGGGTGATGGGCATGCCCCTCTGTGTCCTGCTAATGGCACTTTATGAGGAAGGTCGCCCCAATGTCACCTAGGGAGCAAGGCCTTCTCCAGCCAGCACAGTAGCCATTTTTTTTGGTACGGGGAATCAAGCTCACAACCTCACGCTTGCAGGGCAGGTGCTGTGCCACTGAGCTATATCTCCGGCCCAGCCAGCACAGTGTGGAGACACAGAGTCCCCATAAAGGACGAGGCCGGGGTCAGCGGGGGTGTATGGCCTCCACCCTGCTCCGATCCTGTTTCCCGGAGTGTACAAGGGGACAGGAGGGGCGGGCGGGGCGGGGTGGGGGAACCCCGAGTGCCTGCAGCTACTCACAGATGTAGTAGTACTCGTGGCCCGGGCGGAACTCGAAGCCCAGCGAGAAGGGCGTGAAGAGCTGGAACTTCTCCGAAAACTTGAGCGGCCCCCCGGGCGCGGCCGGCCGGTTGCACTCCCAGCGCTTGAAGCCGCGCTGCCGGTGGTCGCAGGACGCGTGGCCCTCGCCGTTGACCATGTAGAGGACGTAGTGCTCCATGCGCTCGGCGGGCGGCAGCGGCGCCCCGTAGTGTGGGCAGTAGATGTCCAGGTAGTCGTTGATGCTCACCTCCACCGTGTAGCCGCCGCCGTCACCCGGCGCGCCCACGTGGAACCTGCCGGGGGAGCGGTCAGCGGCCGGCGGGGACGGGGGACGGGACGGGGAACGGGCCGGCGCGGGGACGGAAGACAGACAGGGGATGGGTTAGCTTGGAAATGGGGGACAGGCTGGCACAGGGACGGGGGCGGGGATGCGGGACCGGTCGGCACAGGGCTGGGTCAGCCCGGGGCGGGGACAGGGGACTGGGAGACAGGATGGCTAGGGGACAAGGGGACGCTTGTGGGCTGGACAGTGCACTGGGCGAGGCCCCACATGTGACGCGCGGCTCACAGCCCTCCGCCCGGTGTAACTCCCCGCCTGTTGGACCCGGGCCTCAGTGCCCCCGAGAGTGCAGGACCAAGCACACACCCGACGCTACGGAGGCGGGGCATCCACGGCAGACACTGGGACCCACTGTGCCCCCGGTCGGGGCCCAGACTCTGGGCCTCCACAGCCACCCTAAACAGCTGCCCATCTGGCACCCATGCCCTGCTCCAGCCTCAGTTTCCCTCCTAGGATTCAACCGCAGCCCCCGCTTTCTGTGCTGTGTGACCCGAGCCTCTCTCTGGCCCCCTCTGAGCCTCTCTTGGTCCCGAGACCCAGTCCGCCTTCCTGAGCACACAGAACGGGCAGCGCCTTCCGAACCTCCGAGCCACTCACCGGGCTCCCCGGCCTCCCCGGCTGCTGACACCTTGGCCCCCTAGCCCGCCCTTTGCCCTGGAGGTTGCCCCATCCGCCCCGCATCCTGTGCCCCTTCCTCCGGGGAGGATGGAGGTCAGCTGAGGGTTGGGTCGGCGGCTCCCGTTCCACCACCGCCTGCGGCTACAGCGCAGAAGCCGCTCAGATCTCCCCGCCTCCGTCCCCCGGGTCCCTGTCATGAAAACGCGGCCGGCCGAGGGGGGCAGGAGGGGGACCCGGTGAGGGGCTCATTAGCACATAAAAGCCACACGCAGGGAGGGCTGCCTGCGGTTCCTCCTCCTGCACAGCTGGGGAAACTGAGGCTAGACTCCACTCCAGGCTGGGCTGAGAGTTCTGGGGTCCCCAAAGGGGAGCAGGATAAGGCAGACAGGAGTCCTGATTATTCATGCCTCAGTTTCCCCACCAGTTACTGGGGATTCAGTGCCAAGATTTTCAGCCCCTGCAGCTGATGTCCAGTTGCAGAGAATTCAAGACGGTGAGGCGGGGCTGGGGATTTAGCTCAGCGGCAAAAGTGCTTGCCTGGCAAGCGCAAGGTCGTGAGTTCGGTTCCTGGTACCAGAGAAAAAACAAACAAAAAAAAAAAAAAAACAAAAAACAAGACGGTGAGGCAGAGTGAGTGGGCGCCCCGCACCTGAGCTCTTGCATCCACCTGAGGACGGGCAGCTCGCCCCAGCCCCGGGGTCAGAGGCCAGGGGTGCAAGATGTGTCTCCGAGCTGGGGGGCCAGTCTGGGGTCTCAGGGGCTGTGCAACTCCAGGGCTCAGGTGACAGTTCCCACCCAGGTGGGTCTCAAGGTCAGCTTCTCAGAGCCTCAGTTTCCCCTACCTGCAGTGGGCCCTCCGGTGTGTACACTGTGGGCCGCAGAGATGGGCAGTGCCACCAGCACAGCCAGGGGTCCCCGGAGGACAGGCGGGGGACTGGGTCCCACTGACCCTGCGTCCTGGGCCCTTGGGTGGGGTCCACATGCCAGCCGCTACAGGCTCCTAATTTAAAGTCACCTTTACTCCTCCCGAGCCCAGCGCAAATCTCGCAGCTCACAGATCAGTGGCACCAGTGCCCAGCGCCTGCCTCAGGACCCGGGGGCCCAGCCAGGACCTATGAGGTCACCGTGGGAACCGCAGGTAGGCGGGTGGGGGCCGGCCTGGCCTGCCCCATCCCCTCCAGCCCTCAGCTCTCCCTTGTTGCTTCGATGATTCTGTCCTTTCTTTCATCCCCAGCTGTACTGGGGATGGCGCCTTGCACGGAGCTCAATGCTTAGTCCCTCTGCTAAGTGCCCAGGCTGAGCTCAAACTTAGGATCTTCCTGCCTCAGCCTCTCCAGTAGCTGGGGTGACAAGTGTGTGCCACAACGCCTGGCTATAGGACCCTTCTTGAGATGGGCTCCGAAGGTGAGCACACAGCACCCCACCCCCATCTCTCTTTGTTACCCAAGATGCCTATGTCGGATACCACCACGTTCTGTACCTGGCAGAAACTGGCTGGCTGGCTGAAAGCTGGACACCAGGCTTTTCCTGGACTGCAGTGAGGGCCCACCAGGCTCTTGGCTTTCAAGGCTCACGGCTGGCTTCTCTGAGCATCAGGCCCCGGGGCTCACTGGCTGGAACCTTTGTTTCCCCTCAACTTGAAGAATCTGAAGCGGGCTCTCCCTGGGCCGCCCCTGCCCCACCCACCGCAGGGCCTTTGCGTATGCCGTCTCTACCGCAGAATGCTTCTGTTGCCTCCTGCTGTTTTTGTTCTTTCACCCTCACAAGGCTCCTGTCTTCCCTGCCTGCCGCCTGTGGCCACCAATCCTGTAGACAGTGGCACTCAATACATGTTTGTTGATTGAAGAAGTGAGTTAGAAAGGTCAATGAGGGGGCTGGGGATTTAGCTCAGCGGCAAAGCGCCTGCCTGGCAAGCGCAAGGTCGTGAGTTCGGTTCCTGGTACCAGAGAAAAACCAAAAAAAAAAAAAAGAAAAGTCAAGGAGTCAAGGATTCTGAGATGCTGGATTGTGGGAAGCAGAGAGTAGCTCCCCAGGATGAGGCGGGTAAGGGCCTTGACAGGCGGGTCCCACTAACCCAATGCCGGCTGCCTCCGCGGGCCGTTTTTGTTGCTTTTCCGGCTGTAAATAGCGACGGCCCTGCTGTGTTGGCATTCTAAGATCCAAGTCGGCGGCGGAGCAGCCAGGCCTGGCGTCTGCATGGGGTAGGGAGCGAGGGGGCCCCCACCCCAAAACTCAGCCTGGTGAGCCCAAGATACGGCCTGTGTCTCCTCCATTAGTGCTGAAGCCCCGGTGGGCCAGGTCCCCGCGGGAAAGGCAGATGGGACCAGATCCCACTGAGGCCTTGCTGACCCGGGAGATTCCCTTCATGTGGGGTGGGGGCTCCTCACCGTCCGCCCTGCCGTGTGTCACCCCTGCTGGTACATCCTGCCCACTGGCCGGCCAGGTGCCAGCGACCCTCGGGGCAGCTGTCTCAGCCCCTGCGGAGCCTCCTCTGCCCTCCCAAGCTGCCTCAACCCTGCCCCCCGCCCCCTCCCGGCAACCACCCGGCCCGCAGCTAATTAACTCCAATCGTGTCTGTTAAGTCATAGAGGCTAATAGCAAAGCGACTAATTACAAGTCTCTCCCAAAATGGGTGGGGTGAGCTGGGCTGCCTCCCCAGCCTGTAAACTGAGGCACCATGCAGCCCGCAGCGCGGTGCCTGCACAGTCTGGGGGTGGAGGGGCTTGCCGTTGTCTCCTCTGCAGTCTTCTCGCCCTTTCTTTCTTTCTTCTCTCTTTCTTTCTTTCTTTCTTTCTTTTTCTTTCTTTCTTTCTTTCTTTCTTTCTTTCTTTCTTTCTTTCTTTCTTTCTTTCTATCTTCCTTCCTTCCTTCTTTCCTTCCTTCCTTCCTTCTTTCCTTCCTTCCTTCTTTTCATACACATGGAACACAGGGTCTTTGCACTGAGCTGCATCCTCAGCCCTCTTTTTTATCTTGTTGAGACAGGACCTCACTAAGTCACTAAGTCACCCGGGCTGGACTCGATCTTTGACCCTCCTGCCTCGGCCTCCCAGAGTGCTGGGACTACAGGCCTGTGGCACCATCCCAGACTGGCTATTTCTGTCTCTCTGACAACTGGAGATGCTCCAGAGCTGACTGGTGATCAGGCACATGGGATCCTGGGGCCCAGCCTTTGAGGGGCTGAAGCGGGGATTTCTGCGTCTCAGGCCTGGCTGGCCCCTCCGATGAAGTGAGAGCCTCCAGGGGCTGCAAGGTGACTCTGAGAAAAGATGCTTTGGGCCTTGTGGGTACAGAAAGGTAAACTGAGGCAGGGGCTCCGGTGTGGAAGCAAAAGAAAAAAATCAGAGAAGCTGCGGGTGTAGCTCAGGGGCGAGCACAAGGCTCTGCACTTCATCCCCAGGACCAGAAAAAGAGAGAAAGAGGAGACAGGAAGGGAGGGGAATGGAGGGAGGGAGGGAGGGAGGGAGGGAGGAAGGAAGGAAGGAAGGAAGGAAGGAAGGAAGGACGGGAGGGATGGAGGGAGAGGGAAGGGGGCCAAGCAGAAAGGAGAGGTAGGGTGGGGGCTGCAGTTGCCCCACACAAAGCGTTGGTGGCCGAGCAGCATTGGGGGTGTGCCGGACCTTGTCCCCCACCTACCCTGCACTCCAGTGACGCACCCTGTCCCCGACACCCCGTGGCCAGCCCAGATGCAGTGGCCTCTTGCAAACATCAAGAAAGCCCTGAAGGTGGCCCTGGACCAGTCGCCCTGTCTCAAGGCTTCTTTGTCCCTAAAAGAGGGTCAACGGGTCCCCAGGCAGGTGGATTAGGGTCTGGGCGGGTCGGGGATCGCCCCTCAAAGCCGGGATCTCCGGTCACCCAAGGAGACCAAGGCTTGGTGGCCACACAGGACCGCGAAGGTGGGGGATGTGCCCCCACTGGCGGAGCCGGCTTGGCCGCAGAGTTCAAACGTCTGGTTGAGGTTAAGACAAAAACCCCTGCCGGGCCACGCCTGGCTTTTGAGCTGCGTGTCTGGAACAGCAGCCCTGCGGTGGGACCGGGGCTGGGAGGTGGCTCTGTCCCTTCCCCCAGGCACGGCCAGCTCAGGTGGGGAACAGAGCTGACAATTCTCTGTGTATGCATCACCCAAAGAAGAAAATGTCCCCCAGTAGCAACCGGGCTAGAGTGAGGCTTCCTGAGGAGGAAAGGAGGGACACGCAGGAATCCCGGCCCCGGGGACAGGACACCATGCCTGTCAGTGGCTCACACATAGAGGGACAGGGGAGCTGTCAACCGCAAGATGCCGCCTCCTGAGCTCCAAGGCCACCCCTGCCGTCTATAAAGGGCTTCTGGCTATGCCGTGACCCTGAGTGACCCGGGAGAGTCCCCTTCAGTTCCTTGCAGGGAAAGCCACCAGAGTGCAGGTCAGACATCAGTGCCCCTTGCCCGGCTCCCAGCCACAGGGACAGGCTGGAGGTCACATCCACTACGTCCACAGTCGCCACGGGGCCGAGGGACCCCAGTGCTGCACCTCAGTTCTTTAGGATACCACCAGGGTCCACAGCACAGAGAGGCGAGGGCTGCACACACGCAGAACGTGGCCATCTGATGCACCCCATGAAGCCCAAAGCAGGAGAAAGGGCCGGGGATGCAGGGACACAAAGCCTGCGCGTTGGCAGGGATGTGGGGCTGGCGTGCGCGGGCATCGGGGGTCGGGGGCTAGCTAGGGCTGGGCACGGTAGTGGCCAGAGGCTGCTGCTCTGGACCACGGGCCCTGCCTTGGGTTCCCTCCCTGCGTGGGTTCTCAGTGCTCCTTGGACCCACCTCCGGCCTGTCTGTCCACATCAGGCTGGGGGTGACGATGTGCGTCCCGCTTCTCGGAGGGGGCACAGGCGCCCCGGACAACCGTGCTGCCCACTGGACCCGGAGTTGAAGCCCCGCTAGACCCCACTCCCCGTCCCCGAGTCCCCGCCCGGCTCTCCAGACCCCCAAAGCTGGGGCGAGAGCTCTTCTCACACAACAAAAATCCCTCCTGCAGCAAACAGGCATCGCCCCTTTCTAAGCTGGTTCCCCAGGGGCCAGGCGAGCCCAGAGGGCCACCGCAGTGGGGATGCTGGTCACCTCTGGCACAGGAGGCTCCTTCGGGGGCTGGGGACCGCCCAAGGTGCCGTTTTCCGACCTGGCTGCTGGGAGGGGAGTCACAGCTGTGCAGGACGAGGGCGCCCTGGCCTGGGGCCCTGGAGACAGTGCCACCCGAAAGCCTCTCGCCCCAGCCCCAGGCAGGGCTACGCTCAGTGCGTGGGGACTCAGGGAAGGCAGCCGTCCTCTGTGATGCTGACTCTGGCCCATCTACACCTGGGCTTGTGCCCGTCCCCAGAGAACAGGCACACCCATCGAGGTCACCACTGTGGACCCTGCTGGGGCTGGAGGCCCTGTGTAACACCGCTGTTCCCAGTGTGGGCACAACCCCCTCACATGCACATACATGTGCTCCACCCACGGACACACACACACGCATGCATCTCACATGCAGGCGTGCGCCCTACCACGGCAGCCTTCTGTGCAGACACACGCAGGCGTGACAACCAAACATGCAGGCGCACGCATGTGTCCTCTGCTCACAAACACGCACATGCCAAGGGCAGAGACGTGTGCATGGATGCCGGCAGCGCCCTGCCATACACAGATACGTGTGTGCATCACACGGACACACAAATACCCTGCGCAAGCATATGCAGCTACGTGCGTGGCCGGGGCCCAGAGCAACACCTGCCCCTACCAGACATGGGGCCACCACGCATACCCACAGGAAACGTGGCGGGCGGGTCAGCAGGGGCAGCCACCCAGGGCCAAGCCAGCCTTGGCCAGCCATGCTGCAGACTGGCCCAGAGACACCTGGCAGTCGGCTCAGGAGGGCCCAGCCGGTAGGGTCCAGGGATTGGCGGCTGGTGGGAAGGTGGCCGGCCCTGCCGCAGCACGGCCCACCCGTGGGTTTCCCATCCAAGCATCAGTCCCTAGGGCTCCTCTGTGGCCGTCTGTGCCCCCGGAACGTGCCCACGCCACTCCGCCTGCCCTGCTCACCGTCCTCCTGCGTGCTGCTCTCCGACACAGGGTCACCCCTAGGCCAATGTCCAGCGTCCCCATCTGCCCTGGGTGCCCTCAGACAGCAACGCCGAGGCCCCCCCTCTCAGCGTGCCCTACATCCCAGGTCACCTGAGTACGGGTTCCAGCACAGCCATCCCTGAACGTCAAATCTCCAGAGGGGTCCCCCGGCTGCCGAGACCCCCCCTTGTTCTGCAGAACACCTCAGTGTCAGTGACAAAGCCCCAAACTGGACGGATCTGGGATTCCTGAGCTAGCTGGTCATCCGGGTCCTGGGCTCCAATGCAGAGTGACAGACATGGTCACCTGCAACACAGGTGCCCGAGGCAGAAGGGGGAGCGGAGGAGGAAGGTCCCATGCCACAGGGTCTGCTCAGGGGCCACCTGGCTGTCCCCCTGGGCAGCGGACAGAGCGGGCGGTGAGATACACAGCAACAGGAGATGACCAAGTGGCCAGCCAAAGCCAGGCATGGGGGGGGCTCATCCCCCCCGCCAGAGGTGCAGCCAGCAGCCCACGGCCCTGCGGCAGGTGGGGATAGCAGGACAGCTGTGAGCAGCCCCTTCCTTCCCTGTTCCTGGTTCCTGGAGTGTCTGCCAGAACAAAGGACCGGCCACGCTGGGGGACGGCAATTCCGGAGCTGAAACCAAAAACTTGGTCCAGGGAAGCGCTGCTCGCTGGGTTCCTCCGGCAGCCAGGGACAGGGAAGCGCCTTAATCAAACCCACATGTGACCAAGACCAAGGGCCGCGCAGGACCCACTCTGTGGTGGCCCGGCTATCTCCCTGAGGCCCGGGTGCCTGCCCTCGGCCCTGCTCCTGTGGGCCCCGCGGGCACGCTCCCCACCCCCCTCGGGGGACACTGGCTGCCCTTGTCCAGAGCCTGCCTCAAAGGCGGTCCTTTATGCAACTTTCCGCCAGGGGATCAGGACAGCAGGGGACCAGAGGGGACAACCGCTCAGAAGGCGCAGGAACACGGAGCAGGAAAAGTGACCAGTGGCAGAGGGCTGGCCAGCAAGGGCCCCTGTATGCAGATCAGAAGACCCTGAGTTCTACCCTGGCCACCTCGGACCCCAGAAGCCCCAAACCCTGCCTCCCACGGGATCCCCGGTCCACCCCAGCTTCCGAGACCCCCAAATGACCTGGAGGGTTCTGAGGACTCTGGAAGGCGGTCAGTGGCCAGCAAACTTTTCTTGCTCGGACTAGCAGGGGCTCCTGTCGTCCCCCAAATCGTACTCAGCGTCTGGCGCACAGCCGGTTGGAAACAGGGTTCTGTGCAGCGGGCGGCGGGGCCCACGGCCGGGCGTGGCAGGCTGGGCACCAGGCCACCCAAGTCCCACCAGAGCTCTGCTCCTCTCCTTGTGACCTTGAGCCCCCGGTCCCCCTGCACCTCAGTTTCCCCGTCAGCGCCAAGAGGAGGGAAGAGAACACTACCCGATTACTCCGCCCGACAGACCGCAGCCCCTCTGGTGCCTCCCTCCAGCCCCACAAAGCTGGGACCAGGACCCCCTGGAGTGAACGTGGGGGAGGGAGGGCCCGGTCCAACTTCCTCAAGTTCATCTGGGTACCTCCCCGCAGGACGCGCCGGGAGACCCCTCTCCGGAGAGCCACCGTCCTCCACCTCGGAGACCGCTCGGTACCAAGGTCCCCTGGGATCCCCACCAACTCCTCAGTCCTGGGGGATTCCCCGAGAGGCTGGCAGATCAGGGAGCCCTCAAGTCCAGAGAGGAAACTCAGAGCGGGCCCAGCTTCTGAGGGTGTCAGCGGGGATCCCCAAACTCTGGGAGACGTGGGCGCTTTGGGGAACGCGGGGCGCGCCTCCGCATGGAAGTGGGGCGTCCTAGGAATACCGCACACGAACTCCGGGGGGCCGGTCGTTCCTGGGGAGGGCGTCCCCAGGTGCCGTGCGTCCACCCCAACGGCGGGGCACGGTGCTGGGGCTGGCGGAGGCCCCCGGCGGGGACGGGTCCCGGCGCTGCGCGCTCACCTGGGGTTGCTGCGGTTCCAGTAGACGGCGTAGCGGTCCGAGTTGGCGCGGGCGGCGTCCTCGGCGCGCGCGCA